AAAATTGTCTATACTTAAAATATCTTTTAATGTTAGATGTTCGATTAGATTTGGGCGTTTATATTTAGTTAAGGAAATAATTCAATATAATAATATTGTACTGAAAGCTTTCCTCTATGCGGACATTTTGAACAATAATTTTGATATTGGAAAATATTACAATCAATTTTATCATTTGATTTTATCGTTTCGTCACCCCCTCCCCTCCGATTTCTAAGGAATCAGTTGAAATTTTTAACCTATATTTTTTATGATTCGTATTTACATAATAGATACATTATTATTGTAACTTTCGTATTTTATATAATATACATAGGGAATAGAAATTACGATTCCATTACCAGGAATATTAAAAATATTGTAATCAATGGTATCACTTCTCGCATAGTACGCGTGTTTTTCTGTTCGCGAATAATATGCCACAGATGTTTCCGCCAATCACACGAAACGAAACACAAAACCGATGTACACCTAACCCTTTAAATTGTATCATTAAGTCGACAACTGTCGTTTAATTTTGGGGGAGCCGTTGTCGCGACCGCCGAGTCGTGCACTTCACACCTCCGCTGCACACACACCTGTTTGAACCCACGGTGGTGCGTCGTCGGTACTTATGATTTATTATTCATCTGTCACCTAACCGTCGCGATGACACACAAGTTTAATAATAATAATAACATGTACACACTTCACACTGGCTTATTCGTTGTATATTATAATTATTATACACATAAACGAGTTACCGAGAATTGTGGTTGACAACTGTAAAGTATACCAAAACAATATATTATTATATCTCTACATATTATGAGTGTATAATGTAATAATAATGTATTAATGTCCAATGTTGCCGAGGATAATTGTTTATTAATAATAAAAAAAAATTTAATAATTTAATTTGACATGTTATAATATATTTTGTATACTTATTTATTCTGGCTAAAAACTAGTCCAAATAAAATGACAATAATACCAATAACCAAATTTTGACATACAAACTTTTATACCTTAATATAAAGACAATTTTTCCAATACAAACTTAAAAGATCTCTTTGAACTTCTTCCTTTTAGAGTCGGTTAAATTATTTGATTTTATTGAAATAATAAAATATAATGACGTCCATTTAAAGTTGTGGCAGTAATGTCCAGGTCATTTTGTTAAAAGTAAATTCATGATTAGTTTTCTTTGATTTGCAGAAAATATTTTCTAACCTCTCCGACTGAAAACACAGTCACAGAAGATTAGAAGAACAATTTTTTTAATGCCAAGTTTTTTTTCGGGAACCCATAAAAGTTTATTTCCGTAGAGTTAATTTATACGTAGGTATACATACATTTTATGTGAGTTTAAAATAACACATCGATATTAATGAATAATGATACTTGTTGAACTTTAAAAACATGACCTACCCCTCAATATACACCGTATAATGAATGAATACGTGTCATATATACGTGTTATATATGAAAACTATTAATCAAACCCATTTCCGGAATGAATGAACTATAATGTCAGTCGTCAGAACTGTCGAGGTTGATTAGTTTACAAATGTACGTGTTTATAAAATATAGTATAAACTTTTTTACGAGCCTTTTATAACTTAAACATGAGCTATTTTAATTGATTTTGTTTATACTGGATGCGGTAAATTCTTTGAAACTTTTTTTTGGTCTATATATCGTTTGTATTTCTTAAGGTTAAGTATTACAAGGAGTATATTTATCTATACCTTTATCGTAAAGTGATTTATTTTTCATGACCACTTTGACTTAAAACAAACATTATTTTTTCTATCCATGGGATAACTTTGAAATAACAAAACATTTTAAATATATACCTCTACAAACATGATATTATTGTTAAAATACAAAAATTATGTTTATTTATATACCTAGTCTGATATTTGTATTCTGTCTAATTCCATTGTGTTGTACATCACTCGCTTTCTTTTATACATTTATATACTGTGTTGCATATAAAGTGAACTTTGAGTTTCCAAACAATAATATTATTTAATTATTATATACCTATAGGTATATGTTGATTTTATAAAAACGTGCTTATTTGAATTCGCTGCTACTACTCCGAGCTGCAGGGTTCGCTTCAAATTGTACTAGAAACCATTTGGCATTTTCCATTGTGTTTTTTTCGTAAATATATACGGTTACAGCTTGTATAACATTACTGTTCACACACACACACACACACACACACACACACACACACACATACATACACACACATATATTGTGTAGAAGTTTACAACCACAATTGCGTATGTACTATATAGGTTGTCTAACTAAATCGTCAGCATTGCGCATATATATATTATTGTCTCGGTTTTACACACAAATTTTATTATCGTATATTTTACGGACCGCGCGCCGCGAAGGAAATTGGATGTTTTCATTCCGGTTCGTTGCCGTACATACCTATATAATAATAATACCTATGCGTGTTGGAGTGTAATACAATAATATAACGTACGTAACGCGCGCCGGTAAAAAATGTATAAGAAAAACGGTAAAACGATGAGACTAGATAAGATTTCCTGCGGTGCACTCTGCGCGCAGCTCGAGACGTTCAATAATGTAACGTCGAGTCGGAGTCGGGTCGTCTGCGGCGGAGGCGCTTGTAAGAAATCGCATCGCTTAATATTCCAAAACACTTCGGCTGAGGTGGTTATGGTGTTGGCGGGGCCACCGGTGCTGCAAACACGTGAAAACGATTTCGACATTTTCTCCGGACTCGACGACCCAAACAATATACGAGTCCGATGTACACCTGTGTGTGTGTGTGACGCGTTAAAGCGATATGTACGCGTCCGCGATGGGGATGATATTATATATTATATTCGCAGCCGTGTGCTGGCGGCAACTGCAGAGCTGGTTATGGGCCGGGAGGTCGGCCTCGGTGCCGTTTTGTATAGGTGTTTATTACCGAACACCGGTGTACCTATATATATATATATATATTTATATACACGTATATACGGCCCCTGGATAGTGACGGTCGTCGCAATTGTCGGGTCAAACAGGTCGTATTATATAACGGTGGGTGAAGTGGCGGGGGCTGTGTGGGTTGGTTAGGAGGGCGCGGTAGCGGGACGAGACCCTAAAGGGCGAAATGAGATCGTCTAAATGCATGAAGTTACCTACACCCTTAACCCTTCCCCTTCTCTCGACTTTTCCGCCTGTCCACATTGCCCGCCGACGATGTCAACTGTACACGTTTATATATATATATACACACATTCACATATACACCCGCACATCCGCACACCTATACTGCGACGGAGTTCTACGACTCTCCAACCCCCCCACCCACAACACACATCCGAGTCCCACCAGCCAGCAGCTACCATAACGCCGTGAGATGACCCGGTCGGACGACGGCTCGAGGGGGTTTATTGTTTATCTATAGATATATTCACCCCCTCTACGTGGCCGTTTTATGCTTAACGCGCCGAAATCCAAAACTGTTTTGTAAAATTACTCCCTTAGGTCTATATTTTCTTCGGGTTTTTTCTTCGCCTCCTTCGGAATAGATATTGTTTCAATAGCATTTTAAAATTTTTTTTCTTCCGTAGGCACCTATATAAGGGTATAAGACTCTCAATATCGTCTACTGCGAATGGCATAATAATATTATGTACAACACTGCAGTACCTACTGCACTATAATACTGTCGTCAAGCCATATAATAAATATTATATACAGATACACTGCGGTATAAATGTGGTATTTTTATCAACAACGTTAGCGCTAATATTAAAATATTTTAACGCCATAATAAAAACGAATGGTCCATAAAATCAAAGCACTAGAAATTGCGAAAAATTGTAACGTTATCTATTTTTTTTTTTAGTGCGACTGCCATTAAACGTTTGGCTATAACATTTCCGAGGTATGTATGTATACCCTTGCAGCGGACCGTAATAAAAACGATTTTACTGCATTTTTTTCGAATAATTTACTATCATGTTATTATTATCTAGTACAAGTCATACAAGTGCTGCTCTCTGCACAATTAATGTTTATAATACCGTACCACCCATTGAGCTAGTACAATTAATTATATACAATTATAAATATTATTATTTAGGAATAACTTTTTAAGCTTATGTAATGGCTGTATGTTCACTGTTGTAAAGGTTAAGCCGGTATTACACTGGATCGACATTAGTCGATCGACAATATACTGTGTCGTTTCGAACGTGTTGTCGATTTGTAGATTTATTATTACATACGTTCGACATTTTACGTTCGACATTTATAAAAACAAATTTATTTATTTTCCCGCACCCAAATCATCAGTTGAACTTCGTCCGTCGTGTAGTGTAGTTCAATTTATTTAATTAATTTATCAATTTATTATTAGTGTGAATATTTTTTAGTAATTTTCAAAATAATGTCTACTGATGAAGATATTATTTTAGCAGCAGCAGCTTTTATTTTAGTTAGTGAAGACGAACCACAAAAAAAACGACGAGTTTGGGTAAGACCAAGTTTAGATAGAAGCAAATATAATGGAAATCGAATGCTTGCAGACTACATCCAGGATGACTTGATAGGTTTTGGTCCAGGAGAAGGTATTCGTAGCACGTTTCAAAATTTTCTACGGATGACATGTACCGATTTTGAAGATATTTTAAAAATGATCGGACCTAAAATAAAACGCCAGAACACAAATTTTCGAGTACCTATATCCATAAATGAGAGGTTAGCAGTTACTCTTCGTTTTTTAGCATCGGGCGATTCGTTCATGGACCTATCTTATTTATTTAAAATATCACAACCGTCCATCTCATTCATAGTACCTGAAGTGTGTGAAGCATTAATTTCATCATTGAAACATAACATTAAGGTAAGTTATAAATTATTTACATTTTTAATAAAATAATACTAAAAGTAACAACATTTGAAAATTTTTATTTTTAGAAATTAAAAGTAGTCTGTGTAGGAATTATAAAAATTAATTATATAATTGAAAACTAATATTAAAGATTTGTAATTTGGCTTGTGCTTGCATCTTCATTTTGAGAATCAGCTCTTAAAACTTGTTCCCAGTTTTGGTTGTACAGTTGAGATGATTGAGTTGTTGTTTGAATACCTTGTTGTGGTGTTGAATTTTCAAAACCTAAATAATATAATTACGTAATTCATAAAATTCAAATTAATTTATATTAACCACTGATTACCTTGATAATGAACTTGAGGTTCATCGTAATACCCCAATCTCGCTTCATACAGAAGTGATTGTATTTTGAACTTCACAGTAGAGCGAGCATAGGATGATGTAAGAGTTCTGACCTGCATTGCAACTTCATCACCGAGAAGAGTAAATTCATCTTTTACTCCACGATTTTGGTATACATCTTCGAGAATATGGAAAGCTCTTTTTCTCATTACCTCGTTTTCGGAACTATTTTTTTTTTTCCAGAGTTATTAGGCTTTTGTATTGGAGATGAAATTTCACTGCTTATTACGGGTTCTGTAGGTATTGATGAATTAAGCTCTGCAGTGTTAAAAGAGTCTTGGGATATTTCCTTTAAAAATTGTACAAATAACAAGGAATTATAAAAAAAAATATAAACATTTTGGACAAGTGGGTACTAATGTACTGTAGGTACAATAAGTTTTTCGAAAATTGCATGCAAATAGGCTAGAAAAAATATCATCATATATCCTTAAATCAAATAAATATAACATAAACAACTACGTTAAATTATTTTAAATTAGGTACATTAAAATTATAATTGAACAAATGTGAATAAAATAAATAGGTTAAGGATTCAGACTATAAAATTGTAATACTATTAAGGCATGTATAATACTTAACATTAATAAATACGTTATATTTTTAAAGATTGTTAAACAAATATGAAAACAATAGATTTAGAATCTGAATTATAAAAATTTTTAATTTTCTTTTTGTTGTAACTTTTCTCAGTTTTTATAGAAAAATGCAAGATATGCATTTATATTATAAATAGTCATGCTATTATTTTTTAAAAACTCTAACTAATAGACATTAATACATCGAGTTAATTTCTGACGACAAAACAGCATAGTTAACGTTTATTTAATATATTATTATAATATCAACAGTCAACACACATCATTGTAATAGCAATAAATTCATCACTCCGCAGAAATCTAAAACCAATAAAATAATGTATACCTAGATTCGGAGAGGAGCGATAAATGTATTGATTAAAAATAATCTTTTTTTTTTTAAATTAAAAATTTTTTTTTTGTGTCTGTCATCAGTCATTACCTTTTGAGACAGTTAAAATGCTTATAAAATGTATAAGTATTTAAAATTAAAATGTTGACAATATTTACAAAAATTTCGAAAATTTTCAAATTCTTTTGTAATTAAAAATGTATAAAATGTTCTATTTTTATAGATAAGAATTTAAAAAATTAAAACAAGGATTCACATAAATAGTTCATACTGTAACCAAAATATCTAAAAAAATATACAAACCCAGTTATATTTTACAGACGCTTAAAATTCAAATTTGGACGAAATTACATATTAAAACCAAAAATAACGATTTTAGTTATTTTGTTGTAATTTTAAAAATATTAGTCGTGGGTACTTAAGTTAAATTAGTTAAAAGTTTAGTAGGTATATTATTATATTTTATACACACAATGACATTTTAAAATTATTTTTTTATATAAATATAAATTTAAATTAAATGTCAGTATAATGGGTTTTTATTATAATTATTATTTATTATTGAACTTATAAAAAGTATTGTTGGTACGTCAACTATAATATTGAAAATCATTTAGTGTATTGAAATATTTCAAAAAATAACAAATGCGTTTTGATTTTTTGGTTTTTAGACACCTACTACTACAGATGAATGGTTGAATATAGCAGAACATTTTTTTTCGAAATGGAATGTTCCTAATTGTATTGGAGCGTGGGATGGTAAACACATTTCTCTCCAAGCACCTATAAATTCCGGCACAGAATATTTCAACTATAAGTCATTCCATAGTATTGTTTTAATGGCATGTGTAGATGCAAATTACAATTTTATTTGGGCTAGTGTTGGGGCTCAGGGAAGAATTTCGGATGGTGGTGTTTTCGGGGACACCAAATTCAATTACATGATGACTAATAACTTATTAAATGTCCCTTCTGAGTGTCCATTACCCGGAAGAGTAAAACCTGTTCCGTTTGTATTTCTCGCAGATAATGCATTTCCACTTGGAAAAAATATGATGAAGCCTTATCCTGGACTTAACCAGAAAGGATCACCGGAAAGAATACACAATTATCGACTAAGTAGAGGGCGTCGAGTTGTAGAAAATGCATTTGGTATTCTGTCTTCTGTATTTAGAATTTTTAGAAAACCTATGTTATTGGAACCAAAAAAAGCCGAGTCTGCTACAATGGCATGCATTTACCTACATAATTATTTAAGAAGTAGCAAGAACTCAAAACATGTATATTGTCCAAGTGGTAGTTTTGATGTCGAAGATATGGACACAGGAATTTTAAATCCAGGATCTTGGAGACAACAACTAGTAGGAATGTCATCATTCCGAAATTTGCCCCAAATCCCACGAAAATCTGCTATAGAAGTACAAGAAATACGTGAAGAATTTAAATTGTATTATGTATCAGACATAGGACGAGTTGATTGGCAAGATTTTTGCAACTAATTTTTATTTATATTTTTAGTACGCCTACCTAATTATATATTTAAAATTTGTACCTATCGTAAGTAAAATTATACTTGAATATTATAAAATATTATTTGTTTTATTTGTATTATTTATATTAGTTACGAATATAAATGTATATATTATAATATTAAATAATATAATAATATAAATATATAATATAATATAAATAAATAAAATAAATATAATATTATTAAATATAATAAATATAATATTTAATAATAATATAATATTAAAATATACTTACTAATACTGCACTCGTGGTCTCTTCTTCTCCTGTATCCCTTGTGTGCATTGGTTTATTCCTATCCTGAAGAAAATGCATTTGTTCATATGCAAACCAAATGTTTTTAGCAGTACTAGCACCTGCGCCGGACTTTTTGTTTTCTTGATTTTTTTTTTCTCTCTGTCATATTGACTAAGAAGATTTTTAATTTTCTTTTCGCATTCCTCGACTGATATTTTCATAATATTTCCAATTTCGGTCAAACCATCAAATCTAATCAACTTATTTTTATATTGTAAATGTTTTGGGTTCCAAAGGTACGGTCTTTCCTTGTACAAGTCAATAAAAATACATGTATTTACATTGCTCCACTTTTCACTGCACTCAGATGTTGCCATTTTAAATCAAAAAAATGTAAAAACTTAAAAATGCGCATACGTTAAAACAAAAGCTAGTACCTACAACGTACGGACTGTATTGAAGAACAATATCAACTGACTTCAGAACATTCTTATAGATTATTTCCGTTTGGATATTTGGATATGTATTTTTACAATAAACCAAAATAGCAGAGTAAATTACACTCTATATAAATAGTTAAAATTATAAATATAGTTAGGAGAGAATGGTGAAGTGGAAGAAGTAGCTTATAATAGTAAATAGGTACCTATTTAATTACATTATTATTAAATGTAAATAATAATGTAGGTATTAATAAATATTGTGACTAGTAAATATTAATCAATATAATAATAGAAATGTAATTAAAGCGGCTTAGGTATTTTGATAATTTTAAGTACCTATGTTTAAATTTTTAAAATTAAATTAAATATTGTTAAGAAAATTATTAAATATGAATTGATACATTTAAATAGGCACTATTTTCCGAAAAATTAATGATCCATCAACAGTATTTTTTTTATAAATCCATTGTAGTTGTAAACATTGTAGCTGGTCACAATTTACTATTTACCAACGGAGTATCCAAGGGGGGGGGAGGGCAAACTAAATTTTAAATTGGGGTAAAAATTCAAAAACACACTTGCAGGTTGCCCCCCTGATAAAAATTCTAACTACGCCTAAAATTGTTCTATTTGTCAATAATAAAAAACAGTCATTGTACCTAAATAATTATTTTACCGCCTACGCATACCGGCTACCGTTCGGTTGTCGATTCAGTTTCCTTTGATGTTTACCGACTTTTTGCCGATCAGGATTTCTGTCGATCGACAAGTAAAATCGACACGAAAGTCGAACGGAATTCGGTAGCAGATGTCGAATCAACATGTCGATCGACTGATGTCGATCCAGTGTAATACCGGCTAAAATGCAAACGAATCTCAGCATCACCCCTAAGCACCATTCCCCGGGGAAGGTAAGCAAAATATGAATTTTTAAATGTATTTATTTTATTTTATTATATTATTTCATCACATTCAAACAATAATTTTAACAATATTCTATGATTCGAATTTTTGTTTCAATTTATGGTAGTCTTAACTTAATACAGAAAAATTATAAATATGATAACTAAACAATACTGTAACGCTCACGTTCACATCTCACTACGTATTATATTTAAAAAATCTTTTACTTTAGTAAAAATAAAAAATAAAAATATATGATTGTTGGGGGAAGCCAAAATATAAATGATAAATGAGACTCAAGATATTATATTGCTTCTGGTAAACGTTAGCTGTTTGATCAGTTTGTAATTATTTTCAATAGTTTTGAAATCATTCTAGAAGGAATTTTGAAAATATCAACCTCACCACGAACGAAAACCAAATAATAACAATATAGTGTTTTCTTTTTAGAAAAGACACGTTTTCAAATATTCAATAACGATAAAATTAGGTATATATTTCTAAAAATATTTGTGGGTGGCATACGCCTTTTTACGCAGGTAGCTGACAATGGTAAAAACCTTATTATATTAAGTAAAAAAAAGCTTGTTCTCTCTTCGCTTGATATTGAAGATTGTCTTTTGTAGATATATTCCATTGTTGTACTTTTCCAAACTGAAAGGAAATAAGCCACAAAAGACACTTTCGGTTTTTGGAAATTTAAATTCAGAAAAATTGAATACACCCATACTCGATATAAGGTGGATACTAAAAATGATTTTTGATAGTTACATGTTGTGCACAAAATAGTTTTGTTGCACAGGTACCACATGTTGATATTTTTTGCGCCAACAACAAATTCGTTCGGCTCAAGAGATAAACTTCATAATAAAATATATGAACCACACTGGGGACATACACACACACACACACACACACGCAAACCACACTTATGTATCACGGACGGTAGTGGCGTAGCCAGGGATGCTAAGGAGGCCATGCCCTCCCCCCATCGACTGTGTTGACCATAGAATTTTATCAAGATTAATAAAATAATAAAAAGTGTAAATACAACATTTCTGGCTACGCCACTGAGTCGGACGGCCGTTACTGCGGTTCTTGTTTGT